ATTCAATTTTTGTATTTTTCTTAATGTAAAACTTAGATTTATATTTGAATTTCAAAAAGATTGCTGATATATTCTATTTTTTTTTAACTCATTTAAGTCTTTGTAAATGGATTGTGACATTTCTAGTATTATTATTTGTTTTGATTTTCTTTTTTCTGAAAAAAAAAACTTTTAGTACCATTTGTTATAATCTTTTTTTTCAAAAGGAAAAAGCAAAAATCTTGGCTATACTCATGTTTTTTTTTTTATAAAAAAAAAAACAGTTTCATTGTTTCAACATTTCACATAGAATTTGACAATATTATGATTGTCCCTTTTTTAAGCTTTCAATAGAACATTCTTTGTATTGACCTATTTTATATTTTTTCATGATGATGCAACTGGCTAGATCTTGGTTTTGATGATTGGTACATGTATGAGTTATGTTCGTACTATTTACACATATCGGTTCATTTCACCTTTGCTATCTTTTCCTGGTCTCTTTTCCACACATTCTAACAACTTGCAATTGTTTATGCAGGAAATCTCAGTCCTTTTTTTTATCTGTTTTCTATTCTTTTCAGGTCATTTTCTTCAGAGAAGAACTTGTAGTAAGAAAAGAATAGGACAAAACCATCTCATGATAACAATATTGAAATTGATGGACACACACAAAAGGGACCATACCCTAGAAAAAACATAAAAAAAAATGCTCGTTTAATATTTTATGTTGCATGAGATTATATTATATACTATGAATGATGAGTAACACGTATATTTATGTGGATACTTAAAAATCAACAGAATCGAAGTCCTTATAGGGGACAACAATATAGGAGTTGTACATGTTTTTTGAGATTTATTGGCTGAGTTGTGTCTGATTAAGGTTAAATATCAATGACTGATTATGACGCAAATTAGATTATTTTTCAATCTAGGTTAATTATAGTTGTTAATTATCTAATATATCATGTCATGTTCTGGATTGTTTTTTTCTCTAAGGGAATATCATCATATCCAAAGCATTTTGAATTCCGTGTCACTATCATCATGATGATAACCTCCACCTTAGTCTATTCTTGGATTCTATAATGCCTTTACTTTTCTAAATCATACACTAAGGGACATGCATCCAATTATACAGCATAAGTGATTGCTTAATCCAAAGGGAGGAATTTGAACCTTCCAAGTTTCCTTTTGCATTAATTCTCACTTTGAAAAAACACTCATACACGCCCACAAATCTTGGTGAATTTCAACTATTACATTATTGTACCACCTTAAAATATCTTTTTTTTTATAATATTTTCTTTTATTTTTACTTTTTTAGTTTTGTCAGAAATTTATTAAAAGTTTTATATCTAGAGATAAAGTCAATTTACAATATATAAATAGATACAAATTTCATTTTACAAGCCAGATTGAATTATATTTAAAATTCATTTATTAACAAAATTAACGTGAGATTAAAGTGTGAAGCTGAAAAAAAAAGTAATTTAATTGTAAAGGAGATGCATTTCCATTAGGGTAAGGGTATAAATTCATTAATTATGATATATACATTTGAAATTGAAGAGATTTTCATTTTTATTCTTATTTTCAAAACCATCATATTAATTGTAGAAATGAAAGAAAAAGTAAAATAGAAAACTTTTAAAGTGGAATAATATATTCCATAAATTATAAAACCAGTCAACTTCATTCAGTCTTCCACAGAATAAAATAAACCTACTTTTTCTTCTTTTTGTTTATATATATATATATATATATATATATGATTTATATAATATATATATATATATATATATATATATATATATATATATATATATATAAGGAAGAAGCAAAAGAAAAGAAGAGCACATGAAGGCATGATGCATATATATCTCTTGCTCTAATCTACTAAAGAAAGATTCTTATCATATGCATTCTGTACATTGAAGTACAGCTTGAAAACTATATATGCTTCTGACATGTGAATATTCATTATTTCGTAAGAAACAGGACATGCAGACCCTATTGTTGTGGTTGTAACATGTGTCCTAGGAAGATCCAACATGCTGCATAAAATGTACATGATGAAAACTAACCTGTTTCTTTAATTCCCAGTTGAGTGAGAACAAAAAGTTGTAATACTAGGTTTTGTGAAAGAATCCAAGACAAGTGTATGAACATGTGAAATAAGCAATGAGTAAATTAATACTAAATATATTGACATTGATCTCTACGAGAATGACAACTTGATTACAAAAGGGCCATTCATAGAACCAACTCTATATAGCATATTAATACCACCTACCACTGCTTTTTCCTTTCTATATCATATGCTACATAATATAATAAACTTCATGAATGAGTGTCCCAAACTTGTAAAATTTTTAGTCTTATTAACATCACAGGCCTTTCATCTGTCACTGCTCATTAGCACAATAATAGTTACTGATGGAGATTGAGAACTTTTCTGGGATGTCGAAAATAATGCTTTCTTGCTGTCTTTGCTGGATTTATTTATTTAATTAATATCTTCATTCTCTCTGTCTTTCTATGTAAATCATGGGATTACCTCACTCACACTTCAAAGGGTTATTAATTACTAATTATTTATCTTCAATTCTAGTCAATATAATCCAAGAGAAGAAGTGTACGATCGAATTACTATGTGCTTATGTCATTTAAAATTTTTAAGTCTTTGGGAGTCATCAAAGATTATTGAGAAAAGTACGACAGATTTTGAAATAAGGGGTTTCTGCTTATTTTTCTTCCTTTAGGAAACAGAGAGAGAAATAAAAATACATAAAAAAGAGTAAATTATTAAGTTTAAATTACAATTTTGCTGATAATGTAAAAGAAAGTTGAAAAAGACATATTCACTGATGAATTTGGACAGATTTGCATAGAAAATTAATGATTAATTTCCACGAATAACTCAAAATATTCCTAACAATTATATCAGCATTGAATAATATAAAAATATGACATTTTTTTACACCAGTTGTTCTCTTAAGACCTGTTGATGAGGCGTGATATAGGTCGTTTGATGCATGAAAAGCCAAAGTGGGACCAATCGCTGATGGCCATGATTCTTACACACATCATGCATGCACTCAATTTGACCCCATTACTTTTCCAAACTCTGCTTTAGTTTTTCCTTTTTTTTTTCTCCTTCTTCTATGATCTTCTTTCTGAATTTACAAATTCATGCAATAACATTGGTAAAAAGTTTGAGGGTACCATTCATTTCTAGTGAATTTGCTTAGAATATTTCTGAAAATAAAAACCTTGCACAAATACATACATACATACATACATACATATATATATATATATATATATATATATATATATATATATATATATATATATATGTTTTCAGCTTTTAAAGTATTAAAGTAGGTGTTATGGTGGTTGGTTTTGTGTTCCTTGGCAATTTAATTGCTTTATCTTCAAACTCAGTCATCCAACCACAAAAAATGCACACATAAGTTGAAAAGAAAAAAACATGGAAATTGTGAAAACGACAAGAAGATATTTAATGGAGAAATAAGCAATTGGATCCATCCACCACCCTGTTGTCCATCATCTTCTTCTTCTTCCTTTTTTTTTTCTAATTATTATTTTATTATTACTATTAAACAATGAATGGATTAATTAATTAAGCTTTGTAGAAGAAGACGTTTCCTCGTTTTTCAGCTGGTGGTGACTTTTGCAAACCTTGTTTACATTATTCATTATATACAGATACTTTATTTCTTATCCCAACCCAAACAAGTTTCTTTCTCTCTGTTTCTCTCTCTCTACCTTCAAAAGTTCCTTAGCTTCTCATCAAGGGCTGCATTAGGTGATTTGAAAAGAGAGGGTCAAATCAATAGAACTTCCCCTGTTTTGATCTGTTCGCAGGTACTTCTCCCGATAAAAGGCCACACAGAGATAAAGAGATACTAAAATGTTTCACTTCACTGTTTTCTTTAATAATGACAATAACCGTTGCTGCCCAGAATTAATTTCAATTTCAAAATTTTAAAAAGAATATATTTTTTCAAGAAAAATGTGAATAAATGAGTGGATAATGAGACGAATAAAGATGGGTATCTTTTCCCTCAAGTCTTTTTAACCCCATCTCTCTTCTTTAACTCCTTTTTATTCCACTTTCAGCTGTGGTGGAAGTGCAGGTGATCTGAGTCTGACACAGAGCTTTACCTCTTGCAAGTGAAGGGACTCATAAATCCCAAACAAACATAGATCGGACACACATATTGTGACAAGTGGGTAACTTGATGCATATATCTGCTAATGATGTTTTCTACTGTGTTTGCTTTGGTGAAGACTGTGTGTGCGTCTGTCCTGTGTCTCTCTTTCTCTCTGTTCATTATGATTGAAAATTCTTCCTTTTTTTTTCAGCAGTAGTAGAAGTAGTTCAGAGACGATCATGAACCACGTGCACACATAATCTCATTAATTTCTTTATACAAATAATCAAATCCATCCCTTACCCTTTTCTCTCTCACCAAATCTCTTCTAAGCTTTTTCACCACTTTCATTTTCAAGTTCTTCACCATGCCATAAAAAGAGTATGCACATGGCCAAAAACCAGTTTCATGTACACCTTAATATGTCAAGTGTGTTAAGTTTTCTGCGTAATTCATCATTTCTCCATGTCTTCACTTTCTCAGGATCTTAGAAGGCTAAAAAGTTAGCTTCCGTTACCAAGAATTGTTTGATGGGTTGATCCAAAATTCACACTCCAAACCAGATTCGCAGCACTGAAAGGTACAGCTAACTCAAGTCTTAGAATGTTAATTTTCGTATGTGGGGAAGAGTACTATAATACTATTACGAGGTTTTAAATTCTGGTCATCGTTGTCATGATTTTTGATGTTATGAAAAATTACAGATAGAAATTGTTGATACGATTACGCTTACGGTTGTGCCATGAGTTAAATACAGTCAAAATCGCAATCAGACACTGTATTTTTTTTTTTTTTTTTATTTTTATTTTTTTATTAATCGATTAATACAGTGTCTGATTGCGATTTTGACTGTATTTAACTCATGGCACAACCGTAAGCGTAATCGTATCAACAATTTCTATCTGTAATTTTTCATAACATCAAAAATCATGACAACGATGACCAGAATTTAAAACCTCGTAATAGTATTATAGTACTCTTCCCCACATACGAAAATTAACATTCTAAGACTTGAGTTAGCTGTACCTTTCAGTGCTGCGAATCTGGTTTGGAGTGTGAATTTTGGATCAACCCATCAAACAATTCTTGGTAACGGAAGCTAACTTTTTAGCCTTCTAAGATCCTGAGAAAGTGAAGACATGGAGAAATGATGAATTACGCAGAAAACTTAACACACTTGACATATTAAGGTGTACATGAAACTGGTTTTTGGCCATGTGCATACTCTTTTTATGGCATGGTGAAGAACTTGAAAATGAAAGTGGTGAAAAAGCTTAGAAGAGATTTGGTGAGAGAGAAAAGGGTAAGGGATGGATTTGATTATTTGTATAAAGAAATTAATGAGATTATGTGTGCACGTGGTTCATGATCGTCTCTGAACTACTTCTACTACTGCTGAAAAAAAAAGGAAGAATTTTCAATCATAATGAACAGAGAGAAAGAGAGACACAGGACAGACGCACACACAGTCTTCACCAAAGCAAACACAGTAGAAAACATCATTAGCAGATATATGCATCAAGTTACCCACTTGTCACAATATGTGTGTCCGATCTATGTTTGTTTGGGATTTATGAGTCCCTTCACTTGCAAGAGGTAAAGCTCTGTGTCAGACTCAGATCACCTGCACTTCCACCACAGCTGAAAGTGGAATAAAAAGGAGTTAAAGAAGAGAGATGGGGTTAAAAAGACTTGAGGGAAAAGATACCCATCTTTATTCGTCTCATTATCCACTCATTTATTCACATTTTTCTTGAAAAAATATATTCTTTTTAAAATTTTGAAATTGAAATTAATTCTGGGCAGCAACGGTTATTGTCATTATTAAAGAAAACAGTGAAGTGAAACATTTTAGTATCTCTTTATCTCTGTGTGGCCTTTTATCGGGAGAAGTACCTGCGAACAGATCAAAACAGGGGAAGTTCTATTGATTTGACCCTCTCTTTTCAAATCACCTAATGCAGCCCTTGATGAGAAGCTAAGGAACTTTTGAAGGTAGAGAGAGAGAAACAGAGAGAAAGAAACTTGTTTGGGTTGGGATAAGAAATAAAGTATCTGTATATAATGAATAATGTAAACAAGGTTTGCAAAAGTCACCACCAGCTGAAAAACGAGGAAACGTCTTCTTCTACAAAGCTTAATTAATTAATCCATTCATTGTTTAATAGTAATAATAAAATAATAATTAGAAAAAAAAAAGGAAGAAGAAGAAGATGATGGACAACAGGGTGGTGGATGGATCCAATTGCTTATTTCTCCATTAAATATCTTCTTGTCGTTTTCACAATTTCCATGTTTTTTTCTTTTCAACTTATGTGTGCATTTTTTGTGGTTGGATGACTGAGTTTGAAGATAAAGCAATTAAATTGCCAAGGAACACAAAACCAACCACCATAACACCTACTTTAATACTTTAAAAGCTGAAAACATATATATATATATATATATATATATATATATATATATATATATATATATATATATATGTATGTATGTATGTATGTATGTATTTGTGCAAGGTTTTTATTTTCAGAAATATTCTAAGCAAATTCACTAGAAATGAATGGTACCCTCAAACTTTTTACCAATGTTATTGCATGAATTTGTAAATTCAGAAAGAAGATCATAGAAGAAGGAGAAAAAAAAAAGGAAAAACTAAAGCAGAGTTTGGAAAAGTAATGGGGTCAAATTGAGTGCATGCATGATGTGTGTAAGAATCATGGCCATCAGCGATTGGTCCCACTTTGGCTTTTCATGCATCAAACGACCTATATCACGCCTCATCAACAGGTCTTAAGAGAACAACTGGTGTAAAAAAATGTCATATTTTTATATTATTCAATGCTGATATAATTGTTAGGAATATTTTGAGTTATTCGTGGAAATTAATCATTAATTTCTATGCAAATCTGTCCCAAATTCATCAGTGAATATGTCTTTTTCAACTTTCTTTACATTATCAGCAAAATTGTAATTTAATAATAATTTACTCTTTTTTATGTATTTTTATTTCTCTCTCTGTTTCCTAAAGGAAGAAAATAAGGCAGAAACCCCTTATTTCAAAATCTGTCGTACTTTTCTCAATAATCTTTGATGACTCCCAAAGACTTAAAAATTTTAAATGACATAAGCACATAGTAATTCGATCGTACACTTCTTCTCTTGGATTATATTGACTAGAATTGAAGATAAATAATTAGTAATTAATAACCCTTTGAAGTGTGAGTGAGGTAATCCCATGATTTACATAGAAAGACAGAGAGAATGAAGATATTAATTAAATAAATAAATCCAGCAAAGACAGCAAGAAAGCATTATTTTCGACATCCCAGAAAAGTTCTCAATCTCCATCAGTAACTATTATTGTGCTAATGAGCAGTGACAGATGAAAGGCCTGTGATGTTAATAAGACTAAAAATTTTACAAGTTTGGGACACTCATTCATGAAGTTTATTATATTATGTAGCATATGATATAGAAAGGAAAAAGCAGTGGTAGGTGGTATTAATATGCTATATAGAGTTGGTTCTATGAATGGCCCTTTTGTAATCAAGTTGTCATTCTCGTAGAGATCAATGTCAATATATTTAGTATTAATTTACTCATTGCTTATTTCACATGTTCATACACTTGTCTTGGATTCTTTCACAAAACCTAGTATTACAACTTTTTGTTCTCACTCAACTGGGAATTAAAGAAACAGGTTAGTTTTCATCATGTACATTTTATGCAGCATGTTGGATCTTCCTAGGACACATGTTACAACCACAACAATAGGGTCTGCATGTCCTGTTTCTTACGAAATAATGAATATTCACATGTCAGAAGCATATATAGTTTTCAAGCTGTACTTCAATGTACAGAATGCATATGATAAGAATCTTTCTTTAGTAGATTAGAGCAAGAGATATATATGCATCATGCCTTCATGTGCTCTTCTTTTCTTTTGCTTCTTCCTTATATATATATATATATATATATATATATATATATATATTATATATATATTATTATATATATATATATATATATATATATATAAACAAAAAGAAGAAAAAGTAGGTTTATTTTATTCTGTGGAAGACTGAATGAAGTTGACTGGTTTTATAATTTATGGAATATATTATTCCACTTTAAAAGTTTTCTATTTTACTTTTTCTTTCATTTCTACAATTAATATGATGGTTTTGAAAATAAGAATAAAAATGAAAATCTCTTCAATTTCAAATGTATATATCATAATTAATGAATTTATACCTTACCCTAATGGAAATGCATCTCCTTTACAATTAAATTACTTTTTCTTTTCAGCTTCACACTTTAATCTCACGTTAATTTTGTTAATAAATGAATTTTAAATATAATTCAATCTGGCTTGTAAAATGAAATTTGTATCTATTTATATATTGTAAATTGACTTTATCTCTAGATAAAACTTTTAATAAATTTCTGACAAAACTAAAAAAGTAAAAATAAAAGAAAATATTATAAAAAAAAAGATATTTTAAGGTGGTACAATAATGTAATAGTTGAAATTCACCAAGATTTGTGGGCGTGTATGAGTGTTTTTTCAAAGTGAGAATTAATGCAAAAGGAAACTTGGAAGGTTCAAATTCCTCCCTTTGGATTAAGCAATCACTTATGCTGTATAATTGGATGCATGTCCCTTAGTGTATGATTTAGAAAAGTAAAGGCATTATAGAATCCAAGAATAGATAAGGTGGAGGTTATCATCATGATGATAGTGACACGGAATTCAAAATGCTTTGGATATGATATGATATTCCCTAGAGAAAAAAACAATCCAGAACCATGACATGATATATTAGATAATTAACAACTATAATAACCCTAGATTGAAAAATAATCTAATTTGCGTCATAATCAGGTCATTGATATTTAACCTTAATCAGACACAACTCAGCCAATAAATCTCAAAAAACATGTACAACTCCTATATTGTTGTCCCCTATAAGGACTTCGATTCTGTTGATTTTTAAGTATCCACATAAATATACGTGTTACTCATCATTCATAGTATATAATATAATCTCATGCAACATAAAATATTAAACGAGCATTTTTTTTTATGTTTTTTCTAGGGTATGGTCCCTTTTGTGTGTGTCCATCAATTTCAATATTGTTATCATGAGATGGTTTTGTCCTATTCTTTTCTTACTACAAGTTCTTCTCTGAAGAAAATGACCTGAAAAGAATAGAAAACAGATAAAAAAAAGGACTGAGATTTCCTGCATAAACAATTGCAGTTGTTAGAATGTGTGGAAAAGAGACCAGGAAAAGATAGCAAAGGTGAAATGAAACCGATATGTGTAAATAGTACGAACATAACTCATACATGTACCAATCATCAAAACCAAGATCTAGCCAGTTGCATCATCATGAAAAAATATAAAATAGGTCAATACAAAGAATGTTCTATTGAAAGCTTAAAAAAGGGACAATCATAATATTGTCAAATTCTATGTGAAATGTTGAAACAATGAAACTGTTTTTTTTTTTATAAAAAAAAAAACATGAGTATAGCCAAGATTTTTGCTTTTTCCTTTTGAAAAAAAAGATTATAACAAATGGTACTAAAAGTTTTTTTTTTCAGAAAAAAGAAAATCAAAACAAATAATAATACTAGAAATGTCACAATCCATTTACAAAGACTTAAATGAGTTAAAAAAAAATAGAATATATCAGCAATCTTTTTGAAATTCAAATATAAATCTAAGTTTTACATTAAGAAAAATACAAAAATTGAATGATATATAAAAGAAAGAAAATACATAAATTGAGATGTTCTTAAAGTTTTTTATTTGAATACTTCATAAAACTATATCTTAATATCTTAATAGTGGTGTTATATCTTTGATTTCTCAAAAGATTTATGACCTCTCACAAATGATAGTTGAATTTAGTTGAGTATAAAATGTGTTTTCCACCAAAGAATTATAAGAAAGAAAAAGGTAGAGATTGGTGGACCCATTTTTGTGAAGGTAGAAAAGAAAAGAGTATTTGAGGTTATCTTTGGTGGAAGGGAATAGCCATTAGAAGACGTAACTATTATGATTTGGAGTGTGAGATGAAGGAGTAAAGAAAAGAACCCTAATTTTGCCACAAAAAGTTGTGGGGTCAGTTTGTACCTACCTATAACCCCACTTCTATATACCTCCAACAAAGCCCTTCTTTCACACCCACATGCCAAGAATAAAACCTCCTACTACTACTTACCCACACATTAATGTTCCAACATCACCACGTAACTCCACTAAAAGACACCTCTTTCTATTCATTTGTACATGTCTATGAAAAAACCACATCATTTCCATCTATCACAACATTTAATCTTTCATAATATCACAAAAACATGCTTCTATCTCGTTACATACTCTTTTTCTATAATTATTCTAGAACAAATTTTAAAAAAAAATTAGTTTTTTTCCATAAAAAATAGCCTAGACAAATTAAAAAAAAAGGTTATGTATAGGTCTTTCACAACTTAGGTTATACATAAACTAAACTTTGTTATAAAAACATCATTTCATTTTTTTTTTCATTAGTTTTCTACGTGTAAATGTTTATGAAAATATTTATCGAAACAAACTCAATTTTGTATCGGGAATTTGTTTATATATGTATGTGTTTATGAATATCATTACTATTATTTATTATTATTATTATTATTCATGATTTAAGTCTAATTTAATATTATAAAATTAATTTGTAAAATTATGTTTTCAAATATTATATATATTTATTATCCATAATTTTGTCATACTAAAGGATAGAAACCAGATCCATGTCAAAGTTCATTGTACATAGTTTTCTCGTGGTTATTTGCCCTCCATTTCTTCTTTTTGTTGTCGTTTTTCTTTTTCCTTAACTCATATGTTTCTCTTCAAGAATAAATGAAGATACATTATTTCACGAATGGCATAATTTTTTCAATAGATACATATCTTACATAAATTAATGATTAACCATGTTCAATACACAAAGGAAAATTAAATATAACTTTGATCCTAACATTATACTTT